CCAGCACTTTGGGAGGCCAAGGCAGGGGGATCACTTGAGGCCAGGAGTTTGAGATCAGCCTGGGCAACATAGCCAGGCCCCATCTCTACAATGTATTGTCTTTTTTACATGTTGCTGGATTTTATTTGCTAACATTTTATTGGGGATTTTTGTGTCTACATTTATGGGGGTGGTTGGTCTCTAGTTTTCTCTTATTGCAATGCCTTTGCCTGGTTTGGTAACACTGCCTTCATGAAAAGAGTTGGTGAGTGTTTTTCCTCTTCTATCTTCTGAAAGAGATGATGTAGAATTGACATTTTTTCTTCTTTAAAGGACTGGTAATATTTTCCAGGAAATTGTAGTTTTTCTGTGTTGGAAGGTGTCCTTTATTAGATACTGGACCTCCGAGTTCTTTTCTTCTTTAATGAGTTCTGGTATTTGCACCTATCAAGGAATTGGTCCACATTATCTGAGGTTTTGAAGAGATACACATGGTATTGTTTATGGAGTTCCCTTATCAGCCTTTTAATTGCCAACAATTGTTTAGCAATATCCCCTTTTATTTTCCATATTGTTTATCAATTTGATTGATCTCAAAGAACCAGCTTAGGTTTAATCAATTTCCTCTATTTTCCTTTTGTTTTCAGTTGCACGGACTCCTGCCCCATCCTCCCTTTGCTTGCCGTGCGTTCCATTTCCTCGACTTTCTCTAGTTTCTCAAGGCAAAGCTCCTATGTTGGATTCAATACCTTCCTTCTTTTCAAAGCAGCATTCGGCCCCCTCCTTCTGCATCCTCGATGGCTGTACCCGGCCTGTGCCTGAGGCTGCGAATGAGCTAATCTCTGCAGTCCCTTCTGAAATTCCATAATTCCTGGCTTCTGGACCCATGTCTCACAGATGACAGAGCCAAGGAGGATGCCCCACAAGGTGGCTGTGAGGGCGGGGTCAACCTCTAGAATCCTCCACCCAGCACTGCTGAGGCTATGTCGGGGACTCATCTGCCCTTGGGTTTCCACTCCCAGGAGGCTGAGAGGCACACAAGAAAACTGACTGGACTGCAAGCGTGGGGTCCGGAGCCGGGGAGAGGCTGTTTTAATTAAACAGTGGAGGGAGAGGCTCTTGCTGGGATGGGCAGGATTCTGCTTCCTGATTGCCAAAGCCCAGTAAGCGATGGGCTGACTGTCTATCCCGGGGCTCAGCAGGGCAGAGGCTCATCCTGAGTGCTGGGCAGGATGGACTGACTGTCTGTCCTGGGGCTCAGCAGGGCAGAGGCTCATCCTGAGTGTGGGGCAGGATGGGCTGACTGTCTATCCCGGGGCTCAGCAGGGCAGAGGCTCATCCCGAGTGCTGGGCAGGATGGGCTGACTGTCTATCCCGGGGCTCAGCAGAGCGGAGGCTCATCCTGAGTGCTGGGCAGGATGGGCTGACTGTCTATCCCGGGGCTCAGCAGGGCAGAGGCTCATCCTGAGTGCTAGGCAGGACACCTTCTGGATGGTGGCCCCCATGTTTCCTCAATGAGGAGGTGGCCCCTGGTTGTGCTCCAGCTAAACCCCCGGGGGTGAGCCCAGCACCAGGCAGTGCTGTGTAGCAGGGTCTCTCTGAGACTGGGGGGAGGGGGCGGTAGGGTGCATGGGGTTTAGTTAGAGACCCAGTCTCTCCAGGGGACCCAGGACACAACGCCACAGAATGTGGAGTCTCATCCCCCACCCCAGCCAGCCTGAGGCTTGGGCCAACATCAGAGCCCTGAGGCTCAGAATCCCTCCACACCAAGATGCCAGAATCCTCCCAGAGTCAGCCTGGGACCCCCCCAGACACACACAGCGGCCTCCCTCGGGGGTGGTCCCTGTACAAAGACCTCTCTACACACAGTGTCCACTGTTGCTGTCCCCCGTCGTGGCGTGGTTTATAGCACAGGGTCTTTCCAAGAAGCGGCAAAGCCTCCTCACATGCTACCTTTTGTGTTTAATTGCATAAATAGTAACAATAATAATACATTCTCCTGTCCTAAAGCAGGCCACCCTCTCTTCACAGTGCTCCCCCCATCTGCGTGTCCCCACACTCTCCGGTGCTGTGGGTCACACACCCCCACCACAGGACCCTCTGCGTCCTTTCCATCCTTGGCCCATGGTGTGTCCTGTCACATCTTCCCACTCCCGGCCAGGATGCTCACGGCCGCTTTGCCCGCTGTTCCTGCACTGCACGTCTGGGTCACATCCGGTTTTTCTCACAAAGAAGTGCCCTTCACGCCCTGTGTGCGGACGGCGATGCTTTTCTAGGGTATGCCCTTCTGCAGACCTGCTCCGTCCCGTGCTCACACTCTCAGGAGGACGTAGAGGACCCGAGTGTCACTGCAGCTGTGGCACTGTGAGCACATGGTGGTGCCAGGAAGGGCTGCCTTCTGCTGGCCTGGACTGGAATCCTGCTCTCCGGCTGCTCACTGGGACCCCGCCACACGCAGGCAGGTGCAGGAGGGAGGCCTCTGCTTGAGATCTTTGACCAAAGCCCTTCCAGGACCTTCACAGGAAAGCCATGACATTCCCTGCACAATGCCAGCCAGGACGGGCACATGGGGGAAGATGAACCTAGAGGGCTGAGTGCCAGAGTGGACTGACCCGACACCCCCATGCCAGGCTGAGGCAGAAGGCCCCCCAGCAAGACTGACAGACCAAGGGAGACAGCTCTGGGAACACCTGCTTCATTCAGCCACGCCCTGGCATTTACCCAGGCTGGGGCCAGCTGCAGTGGCCGGGTCGAGGAGGGTCCAGGCATCAGCCTCAGGCTCTGCTCCCAGCCACTCAGCCTGGGCCAGGGATCTGGTCTGCAGGTATCTGCTAGCCCCGAATGCCCTCGGCGCTCCCCATTTTCCTCCCTGTCACCCGGCCTCAGAGGAGGCCAGGCCAGCCCATCAATTATGTTCCCACCAACTTTGAACTGTGAATCCGAGGTTCCCCAGGAGCTTATCCGCTCCCCCCGGCATGCCCAGAGGGGGATGAGGGGAAGGCACCGCCAGCTCCACGGCAGCTCCAGTCTCCCATAGCGCCCGAGGGCAGCACAGGGAACCAAGGGAGGCCAGCAGACAGGAGCCTGGGCCTGCCTGGTCTCATTCGCAGCCGCTTCCTGTGTTTCCTTTGGGGTCCCCATGGCTGCGGTGGGGCCATGCGTTCCTTCCTTGGTCCTGCACAGCTCACCTTTCACAGGGCCTGGCTGCCGACTTGAAAACAGCAGCCATGGGTGGAATGTCACCTGCAGCTCAGAGGCAGCCGTGCAAGATCCCCCAGGAGCAGGAGGAGGAGTGGGGGAGGCCACACGGGCACACCTCATGTGCCTCTGTTTCCTCGCCACTGAAACAGAGATAACCACGGTTCACAGCTCACAGGGGCTGCAGCGCTGTGTAAAGAACCTGCCACGCTGATACATGGTGGCTGTCATGGTATCCACTTTTGGGGGTGTCCTGGCCTAATCTACCTGTGATTTCTTTGCCACAGACCTGCGCCCCCTGGACATCCTGGCGGAGGTGGTCCCTTCTGATGGCGCCACAAGCGGGATCAGGATAGTTCAGGTTCACGGTGCACGGGGACTGCAGCTCTCAGCAGCCGCCCCCCACGTCATGAGCTTCCCCGCATCCAGGATTTTCTCCCAGTGTGACCTCTTCCCTGAAGAATTTTCCATCGTTGTAACCTTGAGAGTTCCCCATCTTCCACCCAAGGTCAGTGGCACTTTCTGCGCTTCGTGTTAGAATAGCGGGATTTTCCCTTGTGAGGTTCCCAGTTGCAACGCGTGCACAGGTTGAGGGGCGGCATTTGTCAAGGACTCTCTGGGTTTCTCTGGGATCAAGAGTGGCTTGCCTTGCTAGGTAATGAGGTCCCTGTCACTGGCAGTATGTGAGAGTCTGTGTGACCATTTGCTAGGGGGTTGCACAGCCAGTTCCTGCAATTGAGGGTCTAGTGCTCAGAGTTTTTATGTTGACATCCTTTAGCAGGAAGCGCTAACAATAAAATCACATCTAAAAAGGTACACTTTGTAGACCCATTCATCGAAGACTTGAAGTGCTATCAATCCCAAATCTAACAGGTAAGCCCCATTCCATCCTCTGCCTACTAGTTTGGAAGGTGAAGACAGTAATGTTTGTCACTGTCCCCTCCCCATGGTTTCGGGGACAGTGCACATCATATCTGTGCTGCAGGTCCTTCTGAAGTAAATAAAAATGAATTTGCATTTCCAATTCAGCATCATTGATTAAAAAAGGAAGAGCCCTTCTTCCGGCAGTGGCTGCTCTGGCCGTGTGATATTCCATCGAGTGTGACTCCGTGCTGGTCTCTGCATACGCACCCATCCTCTCTCCTCTTCCTTCTAACCTGCTGTAAACCCCAACCACTGAGTTCTCAGTGTCAATATTTTCCAGTTCCCTAACTTCCATTTTTTTATATAACTTCCAATGTTTAGGTTAAAGTCTTCATCTTCTCAGCTATTTCTTGAGCGTGGCTCCAATGTTCATTATGTGGACAACTCCAATATGTGGACCACCTAAAAGACTGGTTCTGTTTTCTGCTTTATCTTTCTACTTTGTGTCACGCACCATACTTTTAAAATTTTATTTATTTATTTTGAGACTGAGTCTTGCTCTGTAACCCAGGCTGGAGTTCAGTGGCACAATCATGGCTCACTGCAGCTACCTCAAGCTACCTTCCCACCTCAGCCTCCAAACAGCTGGAACCACAGGTGCATGCCACCACTCCTGGTGAATTAAAAAAAAAAAAATTGTGTAGAGATGGGATCTCACTATATTGCCCAGGTTGGTCTCGATCCTCCTGCCTCAGTCCCCCAAAGTGCTGGGATTAGAGGTGTGATCCCCCGTGCCCAGCCATGCCTCGGACTTTTTAACAGCTCTGTTGAGATGTAATTCGCGTGCCCTACAATTCACCCATTTAAAGTGTATAATTTGATGGGTTTTGGTAGATTCACAGATATGTACGAGCAATTTTAGGACACTTTCCTCACTTCAGAGGAGGCCCGTACGTTAAATATCACCCTGGACCCTGCATCAGCCCAGCGCTAAGCACGGACTACGCTCCTTTCTGTCTCTAGGGATTTGCCTCTCCTGCGTGTTCCTTGTAAAGGGAATCGTAGGGTGTATTTCTTTTGTGGCTGGCTTCCTTTGCTTAGAATGTCTTCAAGGTTTATCCATGCTGCGGCTTGTGTCAGCACTTCGTTCCTTCTTACGGTCCAATAATACTCCATGGTATGGGCCTGCCACAGTGAGATTATCCTTTTCTCAGCTGGTGGACGTGTGGATTGCTTCCACCATTTGGCTGTTAAGAATAACGTTACTACAGGCATTCATGCATTCCTGTGTGCACTTTTGTGTGGACGTATGTTTTCATTTCTCGTGTGGATGCACTTAGGAGCGGACGCCTGCATCCTGTGGTTAACTTTTCGAGGAACTACCAGCCCGCTTACCAAGCTTGCTGGCAGCATTTTACATTCCTGCCAGCAGCGTGCAGTGGTTGTGATTTCTCCACAGTCTTTACTCTCCTCAAGGCCCAGAAACTGAGGTTCTCCTAACCTCATCCCTCCTTAGGTGCAGAAGTGTTTTATAAGTGCAAACTCCTTCTGGGATGGAGCAGAGGGCTGTCAGTTCCAGAATATCGCCTCATGGCCACTGTCCCTGCTTCTGGAGTGTGCTTTGATGCAATCAATATATTTCTACTGATTTATTTATGGACAAACCCACATTAGGGAAGACCCAACTCCAGTCAGGAGTCTCACAAACCAGAGCATCCACAAACAATGAAGCAACACTACTAACACAACAGTGCCTACAACAACAAGGAAAAGGAAGGCTTCTCGAAGCCAGCCAGGGGCAGCACAATCAACACAGAGGGGTATAAAGGTTCCAACCACACAGAACACCTGGCACGACCACTCACTCACTCACTCACTCACTCACTCACATCTCCCCCAGCTCACCTCCTCCGCACCCCAGCATGGCCACATCCACCATGTCCGTCTGCTCCAGCACTTGCTCTGACTCCTGGCAGGTGGACGACTGCCCAGAGACCTGCTGTGAGCCCCCCTGCTGCGCCCCCAGCTGCTGCGCCCCGGCCCCCTGCCTGACCCTGGTCTGTACCCCAGTGAGCTGTGTGTCCAGCCCCTGCTGCCAGGCGGCCTGTGAGCCCAGCCCCTGCCAATCAGGCTGCACCAGCTCCTGCACGCCCTCGTGCTGCCAGCAGTCTAGCTGCCAGCCAGCTTGCTGCACCTCCTCCCCCTGCCAGCAGTCCTGCTGCGTGCCCATCTGCTGCAAGCCTGTCTGCTGTGTGCCCGTCTGCTGCAAGCCTGTGTGCTGTGTGCCTACCTGCTCTGAGGATTCCTCTTCATGCTGCCAGCAGTCTAGCTGCCAGCCAGCTTGCTGCACCTCCTCCCCGTGTCAGCAGTCCTGCTGTGTGCCCGTCTGCTGCAAGCCTGTCTGCTGCAAGTCTGTCTGCTGTGTGCCCGTCTGCTCTGGGGGTTCTACTTCATGCTGCCAGCAGTCTAGCTGCCAGCCAGCTTGCTGTACCTCCTCTCCGTGTCAGCAGTCCTCCTGTGTGCCTGTCTGCTGCAAGCCTGTCTGCTGCAAGTCCGTCTGCTGTGTGCCCGTCTGCTCTGGGGGTTCCACTTCATGCTGCCAGCAGTCTAGCTGCCAGCCGGCTTGCTGCACCACCTCCTGCTGCAGACCCTCCTCCTCTGTGTCCCTCCTCTGCCGCCCTGTGTGCAGGCCCGCCTGCTGCATGCCCATCTCCTCCTGCTGTGCCCCCACCTCCTCCTGCCAGACCAGTTGCTGCCGCCCGGCCTCCTGCGTGTCCCTCCTCTGCCGCCCCATGTGCTCCCGCCTCTCTTCCGCGTGCTGCGGCCTCTCCTCAGGCCAGAAGTCCAGCTGCTGACGGGCAGGTCCTGTTTCTCCAGAGTTGTCCCAGGGCCATCTCTGACTTCCGAAAATCCTTGCAGCCCTGAGCCCTGAGTCTCCTCTGCCCAGAGCCACTGCACCTCCAGCCGGTAACGCTGAGCCTTCATGCTGAGTTCCCTCCAGGCATGCATCTCTCCCACACCCTCATCTCCATCCTGGCCAGCCGGTGGTCGCTGCGTCCTGCCCCATGTGTGTGATCAGTCTGTCAACGAATAAAGTCACCACTGTGCCCTCTCAGAGGTCTTTTTTGCATGTCTGGCAGGCCCTGGGGGAAGAACTTCGATGTGCCGTGTGGGGTAGGAGCTTCGGGCCTCTGGCCTTGAGCTGCATCCAGGCTGACAGCACCGGGGGCAGAGGCAGTCCTGACTTCCCGCTGTGTGGGGTCTGCTGCTGTGGGGTCCCCTGCCAGCCTCAGCATCTCCAGGCCCCAGGGATGCCCTTCTCTATGAATGCCCCGCACCCACCAGGCCTGGCCTCTCCCTGGGCTCCTCCCTCTCTCTCCTTTCTCTGCCTGTCTGACCCCCCACTCACCATCTTCTCACCAGCCCTCTCTTATTAAATGAAATAAATACTTCTCATTCCTGGAAGATATTTTAGAGCTGATGCTTATTTCAAAGTATCTGTGTATGTTTGTTGGACAGTCTGTGTACGATCATCCCAATGCCTGAAGTCTCTGTGGGTCCATTTCAGCTTTCTGTCATTTCCGCCAGTTCTCACTCATGGTGTCTTGTTTCCTTGTGTGCTTTGCTGTTTGTGGCTGAGTAACCACCGTTGTGCTTGAAAAGTATTTGTGGGCATTTCTGAGGCCTCTAAGACAGGTGTGTTTGCTTTTGTCTTATATGAGGAACCCTCTGATTCCAGGATCACCTTCAACTAAATTCATGGCTTCGATTTGTGTGGGGCACCCAAAAGGTGCCAGTTCGGGCTGCAAAGCAGAATGAGGCCAGGCTTATTGGGGCAGGATGTTCTCCTCTGGGTGTGCTGAGTCCCCAGGCAGCCAGCAGCCTCCGGGATGGACATAAGCCCATGCTTACCTCTGACTCCCTCTTCTCTGAGGGTGCAGCCTGTGCAGTCTCTAGCTTCATGTAGGGATAGTCTCCTTTAGACCCCACCACGAGGGGGGCTCTTGGCTTTGATTTCTGTCCTCTTCATCCTGCAAAACCATTCAATCCTAAATTTAAAATTGGCAGACCAGCGAATGCCCTCCAGAACCAAGTGAATTCTGGGTGTTTCTAAATGCTATGGGTTAGAGCAAGAGTCGTTCACCTGGGGTCTGTGATCTTGGATGAGAAGAAAAAAAATGCATCTTTATTCTCCCAAACCTCTAACTGAAATGTAGTGTTTCAATCAATCATGAATGTAGATGACAAAACTTACAGCGGCACCTGCAGCTTTGTCACCAACAGGAATGAAATATGTGGCATCACATTACGCTGGCTGCAAATGCTCAAAACCTCATTCTGGCCACGGCTGTTTCATAATTACGGTAGTACAAGATGCACCTGCTGGGTTCCACCAGGCACGTTCCCTAGGGAAGCAGATGCTACGCATGCTGTATCGCCAGTTCGCTTTTCACAGCGTAACAGCTGCGTTCTCATGTAGTTGCTTTCCTTTTACTCATCTGAAAACCTCCAAAGCTTTCATGAACTGGCCGGGAAGGTCCCTGGCGCACAAAGGGCGAAGACCCCTCCCTTCGATTTGGGCCTGTAATCCCGTAATTCTTTGTTCCCTTTCCAGTTTCCTGCTGCGACTGGGAAGATTCTTCCTAGTGTTTTCAATTGTTTTCAGCAAGATGATGGGTCAAACAATCTCACCAACAGGTTTCCAGAACTGGAATCCCTGGAGAAACGTCTACTTTTTCTTTTTTTCTTTTCTCTTTGTTTGAGATGGAGTCTGGCTCTGTTGCCCAGACTGGAGTGCGGTGGTGCGATCTTGGCTCACTGCAACATCCACCTCCCGAGTTCAAGGGATTCTCCTGCCTGTCCTCCTGAGTAGCTGGGATTACAGGTGCCCGCCATGATGCCCAGTTAATTTTTTTTAATTTTTAGTAGAGACAGGGTTTCACCATCTTGGCCAGGCTGGTCTTGAACTCCTGACCTTGTGTTCCACCCGCCTCGGCATCCCCAAAGTGCTGAGATTACAGGCGTGAGCCACCGCACCCGGCTTTTTTTGTTTTGTTTTGTTTTTTGAGAGTGGGTATCACTCTGTCGCCAGGCTGGAGTGCAGTGGCGCGATCTCAGCTCAGTGCAACCTCTGCCTCCCGGGTTCAAGCTATTCTTCTGCCTCAGCCTCCTGAATAGCTGGGATTACAGGCATGCACCACCACGCCTGGCTAATATTTGTATTTTTAGTAGAGATGGGGTTTTACTACATTGGCCAGTCTGGTCTTGAACTCCTGACATCGCGATCTGCCTGCCTTGGCCTCCCAAAGTGCTGGGATTACAGGTGTGAGCCACCGTGCCCGACGCGACTTCTTAATTCTTAAGAATAACTGGAAATTTTCCGTAACCTTCCCCTGTTGTTGGTAATGATTCCTTAATTCTTGAGTTGGTCTTTTCCTTTGAACCGTTGTACCTATTAACTTGTCCCAGCAGTCATTTATTCCTTCGCAGTTTCCATGGCATGTCTGTGCAAATGCAATACAGAGTTAGAAGTCCCTGTCCGAGTGTCACAGGCTCCCAGGACGGAAGGACACAGGCCCCTTGTCACTGTCATTTTCCTTTGCAGGCTCCCAGCCCGACCACCAGGACAAGGGGAGCGGGCAGGGCAGGAAGGGCCGTCCCCAGCCCTCTCTGTGTCCCGGGTCTGATCAGCAGCCCAGAGCGAGGCTGCCCTGCCCTGAGCCCCACGACTGTGTATGTGCAGCCTCCGCCCTGCTTGTGAAGGGGGGTGGGATGTGTTTGTGTTGGGGAGTGGGGGACTCACCACACAAGGACTGGGAGGGGACTTCTCACGCTAGGGCTCCCAGATCCTGGTGCCCTTCACCACCCATCTCCCACAGCCCTTGACCAGCTGGCCTAGCCAAGTGCCCACGTCTCCCCACTGGGTGGGACTCTGTAAGGGAACGTGGTTTCTGCATCTTCAGGGAGTCCTGAGCCAGGCTGCCCTCCCTTTGGCTCATCCTGTGGGACGTGGGGGCCCTGCTAGTGTGGGAGTCCCCATTTCTAGGCTGTGTGGGTCACCCTGTGGAGAGGATGGGAGGGGCAGCTCTGTGTGGCCCCCGCAGCCCTCGGACCTGGGAAACGTCTCTTTTCCCTCCCGTTACTGTTTAATTGTGACATTAGTTACCTTATCTCGGTTTTTATTTTATAAACCATTTTGAGAAATGTTTTCATCTAATTGGAAACATCTGGTGAAATTTCCGCTCCTTTCGAACTGGCCGCTTCGCTCCTCATCCTCACATTTTCAGGGTCTTCTCTGCTTTGGAGGTTTTCCTCCTGTTTCAGCTGCTTTTCCATCTTTAGAATATCCACGACGGTTTGTGTTTTTTCTCTTCTACTTTTATTTGCTGTTGTGAAAAACATACATTCTGTTTTTAATTGTACTAATAAATAACTTTTAAGTTTACCTTTATGTTTATTTTTTAATTATTAAAGTGAGGAATGGAACTGCAATTTGAGAATTTCTATTTAAAACAGAATTAATCTTGCTCTTCTTAACATCAGCCCACGTGTCCACCCCCACCCGCCCCTTAGTCTTTCTTGTTTAATTGGAAGCAGCAGACAGTATATTCCGGTAGAAACAGAACCACACATGCAATCCTAAATATTATAACAGCCACACTTAAAGATGGCAAAAGGAACAGGTGAAATTAAATTAATAATAGATCTTATTGGACCTGGTACATCCAGAATGCTACCATTTCAACACGTGGCAGGAGCCACATTTCAAGCACTCAAGAGCCACATGTGGTTAGTGGCCTCTCACATTAGCATGCAGTAAAGTATTAGGGTCTTATCATTGCTATTCAACTAGGATGTTGAATATGCATCTGTTGTATGCATCTGTTATAACAGATGGGAAATTTGCATTTGCAGTTGTAACTGAGCACATTGGTTATCTGGACACAGGTCAGTGTCTTCCTGTCTTCGCATCTGGGCCAACCCTTTGGTACCCCAGCCTCTACAATCTGGAGCCCTTGTCTTAGATTCTTCTCTGCCATAGTCAGCCGAGGCTGCCATAACAAATTGCCGTGGACTGGAGGGTCTTGAGCAGCAGGCATTTCTTTCTCCCTGTTCTGGAGGCTGGAAGTCCAGGATCAGGCAGGGTCCCACATGGTGGGGTTCTGGAGAGGGCTCTCTTCCTGGTCTACAGACAGCCACCTTCTTGCTGTCTTCACATGGCCCAGATAATCTCTCCAGGGTTTCTTCTTTAAAGGGAACAAATCCCATTCTTGAGGGCTCCACCCTCCTGACCTAATTACCTCCCAAAGGCCCCGCATCTTAATACCCTCATATTGGAATTAGGGTCTCACCCTGTGAATTTTGGGAGGACACAAACATTCCATCCATAACAATCACTTTGCCATTTGTCATACTTCCTTAAGTATTTTTTCCGAGAGGGATACCTGGGTGGAGTACTTTCTAAGCTCTTGCTTTTGTGAAAATACGTCACTGTTATCTTTATTTGAGAAAGATGTAATAATTTGAATAAAGGAAAAGTAGAGCCTTAGTCCGCCAAAGATTCCCCTGGCAGCTCTGAGGATATTGCCATACCCTGGTTGGTGGGACAGGGGTCTGAGGTCAGCCTGATGCAGTTCATTTCCAGATCGTATATTACTCGTCCTGCCCGTGAGAGGCCTGTTCTTAGGTCTTCTACGTTGAAAAACTTGTCAATGCATGTCTAGGGTGGGCTCTGAAGGCCTGATTTTCTTGAAATTCATTAAGTTCTTCTACTCCAAATACACACACCTCTGTCCATTCAGCCCAGAATACCTGATCCTCAGTTATTTCTTTGATTATTACTTTGATCCAATTTGTTTTTTTCTCCCTAGCAATTGAATTTTCATGTTTGGTCTCAGCTAAATATACCCTCTGTTTGTTATCTTTTCTCTCATTATATTTGTGGGTTTTATCCTTTACCTCGGTGTTTGGAAGAACTCATGTTTGGACTCAAAATTGAATTGATTCTCTGGGGTATTAGTTTTGTTCTTCTGCTTCCGATGTGAATTTTTAATCCAGCTGTTTGGTATTCAATTTGGTATGGAAGACTTGCTGTCTTTCATCTTCAACATTTTTTTTTTTTTTTAGAATCAGAGACGCACTGGTTGAGAACATAGATCCTATGTACAGACCGGCTGGCTTCTAGTCCTGGTTCTGTTACTTTCTTCTGTGTGACTTTGAGCAGATTGCTCAACCTCTCTGCTGAGGCTTCCATGTCTGTCCATAGTAACTTTGACAAGGAGTTGCCAAAATTAAGTGAGTTAATAGATGCCAAGTGCTGGAATGCTGCCTGGCATAGCCACGTGCTTGTCAAATGCTCTCTGACCTCGCCAGCTTCATCATCAGTGCTACTAGGGGGTCGTTTTCTAAGATGGCTGAAGCTGTCACTACAGTCACATGCTAGACCTTGGGGTTCAGGTCTGTGGGACCCACCCCCTCATACTCCATTAGGGAACGCAGCTGCCTCAGCTTCCCTTCGGCTCTCGCCCTGCCTCCCGGTGCCGACTGCCCTGCGCCTTCAGATGCGAGGCTCTTGCCAGGAGCTGAGTCTTCACAGATGTCACCCCTGCGAGGTCGGAGGGGCTTGTCTGACACTCAGCCAGGGAGGGCGGAGTGACTGGCACGTGCTGCAGGCCCCAGGTTCAGATGGAATTTCCATCACAATGGCAAGGCAGGTGTGCAGGGAGGGGCTGTGGGGGCTGTGAGTTTATCCCACATCCGGCCAGTGCGCATGGCCAGTGACAGTCACAATGGCAGTGACTCAGATCTTTAGTGGACAATTGTGTCACCCGCAAACAACAGACATCCACACCTCATTTCTATTTCTCGGCTTGCTGCTTTGACGCCCTGCAGGACAACAGAGAAAGGTTCTGTGACCAGGGGCCTGCTCACCTCCTGCTACGCTACGACAGAAGAGCTGCCAGTGAGCCTCCCTAGTGCTGTAGGCTTTCTGGGCCACCACGAAAGCCCGGCCCAGGCTGCCATGGCCTCATCCCCAGTTGGAAGAGGCTGGAAGGACATTGGGAGATGGTGGTGGTTCCTGGTGAGAACCAGCTTCAGGCTGTGTGGGCCTCAGGCCCTGAGAGAGAGGAGCTTGCCTGTGACCGTCCCTGCCCCGGGGTCAGGGGCCGTCCTGCCCGATGACCTCCCAAGCACAGGCTGGCTTTGCCCACCCCAGGTGTCCTTCACTGTCCACGTGACCCTCATTCCACATCCTCCTCCCCAAGGCAGAGGCCCCTCCCCACCTCCAGGCCCTAATCTGCACCCGCCCTTCTTAGGACACCTGACCAGGGCTCCAGGGGACAGCAGTCCAGACCCAAAGGCCAATCCCCAAGTCTTGTCCTCCTAATGAGCTGACTGTGCAGAGGCCTTGCCGGAACGTTCCGTTTCCATCTCAGGGGAGGGGAGGTCCTCCCTGCCCTCCTGCCCTTGGCAGACATCAGGATCTCAGAGGATCCCAGAGCCCGCCAGGAAGCACTGTCCTCAAGCGCCTTTTCCCAACACAGGCACCTCTGTCCTGGCTCTCCCAGTCGCAGCCACACCAGCCCACCCCGTGAGGTCCCTGCAGACAGAGGCTGGGCATCCCCCGGGCCCCACGCCGGGCACAGTCACGGGACCTGCCAGGTGGAAGTCACCAGGTCAGCCCCAGAGAGGCCACACCCTCCCTCCTGGTGTTCCCAGGGACAGGCTCAGCCAGGGGTGCAGGCCCTGCCCAGGACCAGCCGAGTGTTAGGAGCAGAGTGAGGACAAGTTATGGCAAGGGAAGCAGAAATAATGAGGGTCCTCCCGGCTCCAAACACCAACACGGAAGGGGAGGGCGTTGCTGAGTCTCCTGCTAGGAAAACACAGGCCCTGGGCATATAAAAGCCCCAGCAGCCGACAGACTCAGACACACACTCACACACTCACTCACTCACACCTCCCCCAGCTCACCTCCTCCCCACCCCAGCATGGCCGCGTCCACCATGTCCATCTGCTCCAGCGCCTGCACCGACTCCTGGCAGGTGGACGACTGCCCAGAGAGCTGCTGTGAGCCCCCCTGCTGCGCCCCCAGCTGCTGCGCCCTGGCCCCATGCCTGACCCTGGTCTGCACCCCAGTGAGCTGTGTGTCCAGCCCCTGCTGCCAGGTGGTCTGTGAGGCCAGCCCCTGCCAATCAGGCTGCACCAGCTCCTGCACATCCTCATGCTGCCAGCAGTCCAGCTGCCAGCCGGCTTGCTGCACCTCCTCCCCCTGCCAGCAGGCCTGCTGTGTGCCTGTCTGCTGCAAGCCCGTCTTCTGCAAACCTGTCTGCTCTGGGGCTTCCTCTCCGTGCTGCCAGCAGTCTAGCTGCCAGCCAGCTTGCTGCACCTCCTCCTGCTGCAGACCCTCCTCCTCCGTGTCTCTCCTCTGCCGCCCCGTGTGCAGCTCCACCTGCTGCGTGCCCGTCCCCTCCTGCTGTGCCCTCACCTCCTCCTGCCAGCCCAGCTGCTGCCGCCCGGCCTCCTGCGTGTCCTTCCTCTGCCGCCCCGCGTGCTCCCGCCCGGCCTGCTGCAGTCTCTCCTCAGGCCAGAAGTCCAGCTGCTGATGGCCATGTCCTCCAGGGCCAGCCAGGGGAACTCCCTGCCAGTCCTTGGATCTCCCAGCCCACCCAGCCCCAACACAGCCCAACCACAGAGAAGCAGCAGCCCCACCCACAGCCGTCCAGCCCAGGGGTGGGGTCTGAGATGGTCACTGGCTCCTCCCAGACCTCCCCCAGGGTGGGCGAGCCCTGGCTGCTCCTTGTGGCGCCTCCTGGCTGCAGACCACGACCCTCTGCTGGTTGGGTACGGGCCTTCCTGACCCGGGTCTCGCACCCAGGAGTGTCACCCTCTGCCTCTGGGCACCAATAAAGCCTCTGCAGCCCCAGCTGACTCTGTGCTGACTCTTCACACCCAGGGCGGGATGGGGCAGAGTGGGGCCTGGCCTGGCTCTGGGGGGCTGGGCCCTGTGGATCTCTTTACATCCCCAGCTGGGGGGCCGTGGGGGGCTCTTGTGTGACACCTGGAAGTTCCTGTCCACCTTGTGGCATGTTCTGCTGTCCAGCTCCCCTCCAGGTCCTGTGGGGCCCAAAAGCTTTGCTCACTGACTGAGTCCCACGGACACCACATGGCTCGGGCCAACGCTCCACTCACCGTGGGTAGAAGCAGCTCCTTCCCATGGCAGGGGTTGGGGCTGTCCCAGCGGGTGGCAGGCCCCAGCTGTGCTGGGAGGTGGGACATGGGGGCAGACTTGGGCTCCAGCTGTCCCTGTGCTCAGGGAGTTCCACTCAGGGACAGCTTGGGCATCCTGGCCTCCTGCGCACTCACAGACGCTCAGGGACGCCCTCTGTTCCTGCGCCAGGCTTGTAGCTGGGATGCAGAGCAGAGAACAGGGACGTGGCCTCCAGAGCTCCCTGTGCTGGGCTGGGTGGGCGGAGGGCCGGTGGGAACAGGAAGGCCCCAATGGCAGAGGAAGCCCGGGACAGCGTGGGGACACATGCAGACCAGAGGTCGAGAGAAACACAGGGACACACAGGTCCAGATGTAGCCAGATGTGGTTTCAAACAGGATTGAGCCAATCTGAGAACAGACTCCTAGAAACGCAACTGTAGGCAAGGGACGCTGACAAGGCGACGGTCATCACGTTGTCCACAAGAGGCCCCGAGTCTTCACTTCTTAACAGCTACACGATCACAATACCGGGCCACACATTGTTCTTTTTTTGCCAGGTTGATTAACAAAAATATTTTCTCATGGTTTTCTTCAGCAAGGAGTGCATCGTTCCAAAATGTGGACACGCCACACTTGATGTCTGCAACGCCAGGTGGATGGCCCTGAACGTGTCTCCAGTTGTTAATTATTACAAACGATGCCTCTGGTGAGATATGGCAAGGTTTCTCTTCAAACAGCCTGATCAATCCTTTATTGTTTAATTCCCAGTACCCCTCCCTGTCTCTTTCTTCTTCTTTCCTTCTTTCTGCTTTTCCTGCATGCCCAGGCATGCCACAGCACCAGTGGCTGTATCAGCACCAGCTCACATTCCTTTCCTTATTTGAGAAAAGACTGACTCCCTAGCTCACCGCAGACGACCCCTTCCCCTAAACGTTTAGCCAATCGGGTTCAGCTTAGATTGCACAGTCTGACCCTGGCCAGTTAAAAAAGGGCACAGGGGCAGGATTTGCATCAAAAATAAAAACTTTCACTCTCCTTTGTTCTGTGTGCTCTCGTGGCAACCGGCCATATGAGAGGCACTTCTCTGTGCAAAGAGAATTTTGCTTTGCTAAAAAATCCTTTGTCTAAGGGCTAGTTTTCCTTACGACTCTGGTTCTATTTCTAACACCTCTGTGGGTGTTTCTACCAGATACCTTTCCACACTCAGGTACATTTTTGCTTAAATTCCTAGAAGTGGCATTGCTAGCACCGAGTGTTCATGGATTTCGAATTCATAGAGATACTGAGAAATGCCCTCAGAGATGGTCCCTAATTGTGCCCGCGAATACCGATGTCAGAGGAAATGGCGCAGCGGGGAACTGTGAGGGCCTGTCCCTCCAGGGAACATCAGAAAGTGGCAAAACCCAAACAAACCAACCCGCTGTCCCTGGCCAGCGTTCCCTGGCTGTGCAGTTGTATTTCTAGGAGTCTACCCTCGGATTTGTTCATCCTGTTTGAAACTGTGTCTGGCTCCATCTGCACACGTGTTCGCGTGTTCACGTATTCTCCCACCCTCTGGTTTGGACGTGGTCCCACACTGTCCTAGGCTTCCTCCACCATCGCTTCCCCAAGACCTTCCCGTCCCCACCTGCCGTCCACCCACCCACCCCAGCAGAGGGGGCTGGAGTTCAATTTTATCTGAACTCTGGAAAATATTTGAAGGTTTGCAGCAGGCAAGGGAACATATAACCAAGAAAAAGCAACAGAATCAAATAGGAGAACCTTGTGGATTTTAACTTCCCCTTGCCCCATCCCCCATCCCCAGCTGGGTGACAGTCAGGAGGACAGCAGCCGGAGTTCCTGGTGTGGGGTGCTGCTGCCAGGGAAGCACAGGGGACCTTGTTTGCAAGGCAGTGAGGTTGTCCGTTTCCACCCGTCTGGTGGCTCCCTGAAGGACTAACACACAGGGCTTGCCTTATTTCACCAACTCAGACTCAAGGCAGAGAGCAGCTACACCAAGGCTTTGTCAGAACGTTAAACAGTCACTGCCACCTGGGGCCAAAGATATCAGCCAGAAAACACTGGGCACACCTGAAAAGCCTGGGAGGAAAAGCTGGGAGATGGCATGCTTTGAGGAATAAGGGAGTTGGGAGATCCCACTTATTCTTGGGAGTCCAGAAGGCCCCCACACATGCCCATGACGGGGCACAGCCTCAGAAAAGACCTGAGAAGCTCTCAGTGCTCACCTCTGGCTGAACTTCAGGCTCTGAGCAAGCAGGAAGTGAAGGTGCAAGCAGGAAGTGAAGGTGCAAGCAGGAAGTGAAGGGGAAGGCAGAGTCGCAAACTCCCCAGCTGAGTGCTGAGGGTGTGGACCAATGTACAGAGCCTAGCTACAAGCCCTGGAGAAAAACATTTTTTTGATTCCAGGGGTTTAAGGAACTCTCTGTCAAATTACTGTCTCAGCACTAAGCTAATAGAACAGTGAGCACACATGACGAAGAAACTATTTTTTTAAGGTGACATAAACAAGCAAAAATAACCACAATCCACAACAATCAGCAACAGCAAATTGCACAGAGGGGGAGAACCTGATACCCAGAAATATCCCATTGTAATAGTCACTGTCCAGTTTTCACCAGACAGAGCAGGAAGAAATATGAGCTACTCGTGGGGGGAAAACAATTAATAGAAAATCTTCCTGAGGAAGACCAGAATTGGACTCACTAGATAAAGTCTTTCAATCAACTCTCTTAAACTGTTCGAAAAACTAAATAAAATCACAGACAAAGAATTAAGATAAACCAGGAGAATGATGCCTCACCAAATAGACAATATCAATAAAGAGATAGGAACTTTAAAAAGAAACCAAACAAAAATTCTGGAATTGAAAAGTACAACAACTGAAATAAATAATTCATGATAGGGTGTCAACAGCAGATTTTATCAGGTGGAAGAATTAATGAACATAAAGACAGATGAATTAACATACTCTAGTCTGGGGAGTAGATGAGACAAAGGGGAGTAGATGTGAGAATGGAGAAAAATGAACAAATCTTAGAAGACCTGTGGGACACTATCAAGCATCCCAACACGCTTAACTGGATTTCCAGATGGAGGGGAGACGGGGGAACAGAAAAAATAATTGAAGAAATAATGGCCAAAACTTCCCAAATTGAGAAAACACATCAATCTACACGGTCAAGCCACTCAGTGAACCCCAAGTAGAATAAACTCAAAGAGAGTCACACAAAAACACAGTGTAATCAAATTCTCAAAAGTCAAAACAGAATCTAGAAAGCAGCTGCACAGAAGACTAACAGCGGATTTCTCATCAGAAACCATGGAGGCCACAGGCATTGGGATGACATATTTCACGTGCTGGCTTGGGGTACAGGGGCGGGGGAAACCAACAACCAAAAAGACATCAGCATCTGACAAAATTATCCTTCAAAAAATGAAAGAGGGGTCAGGTGTGGTGACTTATGCCTGAAATCCAAGCACTTTGGGAGGCCGAGGCAGGTGGATCACGAGGTCAGGAGATCAAGGCCATCCTGGCTAAAACTAATATAGTGAAACCCTGTCTCTACTAAAGATACAAAAAACTAGCCGGGCATGGTGGTGGGAGCCTGTAGTCCCAGCTACACTGGAGGCTGAGGCAGGAGAATGGTGGGAACCCAGGAGGCAGAGCTTGCAGTGAGCAGAGATCTCGCCACTGCACTCCAGCCTGGGCAACAGAGCGAGACTCCATCTCAAAAAAGAAAAAGAAAAAGAAAAAAGAAAGAGAAAGTGGTTCATTTCAAGGTAAATAAAACCTGAAAGAGCTCATTGCCAATAGACTTGCCTTACAAGAAATGCTAATTCAGGCTGAAATACAAGGGCACTAGACAGTAACCTGGAGCCATATGAAGGAAAGGTAGCCATGTTGGTGGTTTGTGTGTTTTTAAGAATTTTTCCATTACATATTGGTTATCTAATTTGTTGGTGTACAAATTTTCATAGTATTCCTTATAATCCTTTTTATTAATGTAAGGTCAGTAGTGATATTCCCATTTTCATTTATGATTTTAATTATTTGAATCTGTCATCTTTTAACCTAGATAAAGATTTGTCTAGATAAAGATCTAGACAGATAAAGATTTGTCAAATCTGTTACTCTTCTCAAAGAACCAACTTTGGGGTTTATTGATTCTATTGATTTTTTACTTTCTAGTCCATTTTTCTGTGTTCTAGTCTTTATTTTCTACCTTCTGCTAAATTTGGATTCAATTTGCTCTTCTTTTTCTGGTTCCTTAAGGTATCACGTTAGATTAATGATTTGAGATCTTTCTATTTTTTAAAAATGTAAGCATTCAGTTATCAATTTCCCTCTATATACTGCTTTCACTGCATGTCATAAGTTTTGGTTTGCTGTGTTTTC